AGAGTCAGAATTAAGACTTCGACAATGGATTTGGGTGGGAGCTCCTAAATTCTCAAGTTCTTCCTACTTTCCAATTTTTTTTTATTATTTCTTTTTGTAATTAGATTCTACATAAAATGAGAGAAATAATTATATCTTATGAGCAAAAAATAGTGGAGGTTTCAATTTTTTATTATTTTTCAAACAAAATACTTCAAAATTGGTGCATTACGATTTTTTAAAAAAAATCATAAAAAAATTAAAACTGCATTGTTTTTTATTCATAAAATATCAAAATTTTACTTATTTTAGATAGAATCTAATGGTAAAAGGAAAGAAGAAGGAAATGCTTCAGAAGTAGAAAAAGTTTGAGGGGACAACTAAGATGGACAGCTCATACCCCAAATCCACAAATTACCTCCCTACAAAATCAATAGGATTTGGGCATAACTTAGATTGTTTCTTAGGTTTGTTAATTTGTATGACTGTTTTTCTCTTTATTTATATATAGCTTTAGTTTATATTTAAACAAAAAATTTTCACGTCCTTTTTTCATTTTATCTCTAAATACAAAGGTTTTGAAAAATAGACCGGTTATTAAATCAATTGAGGTTGTGGTTTAGACATGAACAGCAATGTTAGATTGTTCATGATTGAATAATACTCTTTCAGTACTAAATATAAAACATATTTTATAATATAATTTATACTACAAAATGTGTTTTATATTTAAAACCTGAAAAATATAATCTAATTAAAATATAAAAAAGTTTAATATATAATTTTGAAGAGAGTAATATTTAAATAAAAAGATAATAATTAAACAATAAATAGAATATTCATGTATAAACCACACATAATCTAATATAAGAGTGTTACTAAAACACAAATATGATGGACTACTATTTTCTTAACTCAAAACGATGCTATCTCATGTTATTAACCTGTCCAAAATCCTTAATCAAACTTGTTAAAAACCCAGCTGGTTAACTAGTCAGATCAAGCAACCCAAATCAAGTCTTTTTTTTTTTTAATAAACTAAAGTTTGGTTTAGTTGAGTCCAATGGTTTACTAAAATCAGAATATACCTTCATACTCAAAAAATATTTATAGAAGTATTTACAAATCAGAATAAAGTTTTTATATTATCAGTAACAATATTCGAACTCACAAACTAAAATTGAGTTTTAATAACATGCGAAATACTACCTTATTAAACAAATACATAAACAACACGCATTTTTACTTAACATCTTCACTTTGTTCCCACCAAGATAGCTCAAGTCACAGGAACAGCAATCTCGAGAACATTGTTATTTTAAGGAAAAATGAGCACTTAATTATCTGGATTCATGCACATTTGCTTGATCCAATGCCATAACTAAGAATCAAGAAATGTGAATCGAAGCTGGCACATTGTTGTATAATGCTGACCCTTCAAGTTAAATTGTGACCACTCATTTACATATTTGTATACTGAAGGAATCAAAGAAGCAAGTCATCAAAAAGAAACCTTCTCAGACGGCAAACCACACATTTCAGGTTCATGAATTGATGCTTTGTTTCAAAGGTTGAACATAATTTCCTTATTCATCTTAAGATTAAATATTCAACCAATTCAGATTGGCATGAGTTGCTACGGTCTTTCTTCCCTTGAACAAGTGGTCAGAGATTTGAATTTCAATTCTCATATATGGAGCAAACATAGTTTAGAAGAATCCTTCCTTTGTCCTCACTACAAAAAGATATTAGTCTTGCCAGCTAGTGGCAAGGGATATTCTTGGATTTGTTAGATAAATAAATAAATAATAAAAATTCAAAAACTAAAAGATGAAAAGAAAAGGTTAAGGGTATTTTTTGTTCTAAAAATATTTGTAAAAGATGTTATGAATATTAAGAAGTTTTCTTATTTAATATTGTCTTAGAAGTATTAAAAGGGGATAATATCGTCATTGCCATCATTTTCTTGTGTGAACTGTGAATTTTAATTTTTAAAATTGGGTAAGGCAAGATTATTGTTTTTTTTAACACTTTCATAATAACTTCTTAACGAATATTTTAAAGGCAAAAATATCCTCGCCCCAAAAGAGAGAAGGAAATGAAATATGATCCTCTTTTGTTTGCTAAACTTGTTGGCCTAACAGCCCCCCAGTACCCTTGGTCATGGACCATGGTTTCCGCTTTACAAACCTCTCCCCTTGGCATTACTAAAAACAAGAAAGCAATGTCCGGCTGTCATCAACTCAACTTTTGGTCACTCAATCTCTTGCTTTCTGTACTAAAAATATTCTCAGGTCCTTGATTAGGGGGGTAAAAAGGAAGATTAAATATTAGTAAATTAAATAATGATAAAAAAATTACAATCAATACCAATAGTCATACCATATTGGCAGCAATGTTTACTCAAATGCAGGCGCTCATTAGTATAATAAAATTTGGATCAATCAAATTTAATTGGGATAGTTACTATAAGATTCCAAGAAAGGAATTAAATTATAAAAATATTAGTAACTATCCCAATTAAATTTGATTGATCCAAATTTTATTATACTAATGAGCGCCTGCATTTGAGTAAACATTGCTGCCAATATGGTATGACTATTGGTATTGATTGTAATTTTTTTATCATTATTTAATTTACTAATATTTAATCTTCCTTTTTACCCCCCTAATCAAGGACCTGAGAATATTTTTAGTACAGAAAGCAAGAGATTGAGTGACCAAAAGTTGAGTTGATGACAGCCGGACATTGCTTTATAATTTAATCTCAATAACAATTGAACAGTTTAGATGTGTTGTTATTTCCTACACTGAATTTTTTTTTTTTTGCTAAAACATAAGTAGCCTCTTATTGGAGGCAATCTTATTCGAAACACTGTCAGGCACTAAATATGAACACCTCTCCCAGTAGGAATTTGAACCTTAGTTCGTCACGTTGTGAGGGGCTAGCCTCTTCTGTTAGATCCAACCCCTATTGGTTGAAATTTGTTATTATAAACTCTGTGTGACTAACAAATTTTTGGCTAATTAAGCCTTTTTTGTTGAGATCTTATAGTTATTCCTCCATCCAATTTAATTTGGATTACAATTCTAAATATTATTCCTGATACTAACTATAAAATCTATTTTATAATTCAATTTGTATTAAAAATTAGATTTTATATTTAAGATAAAAGGCAATAGTAAATTTATTTTTGAAAAATGGGTAGTAAGAGAAAAACATAAATATATATTAATAAAATTAAAATAAATTTAAACTACTCAAATTTATATGAACATCCAATGGATGAGTCTATTTTGTTTGATAAAATCTTTTATATATATATATATATATATATATCTTATCTTTTGATTTGAAATTTCAAGTTAAAGTTAAATAATTGTACCTCCCAATTTGCAAATATTACATTTTTGTTTTGACCAAAAAAATGCAACTTTTACATTGAAGCTACCAGTGAACATGGAATTAATCATCATATTTCAATTCATAAAGTCTATGCAAAAAGGTTTACTTTTACTCAATACTTTAAAATACGATGTGCATAAATCGTTTTAACTTATATTCACTTTTTAAAACTGAACTTTATCAAAAAAATTTTAAAAAAATTCCCATCCCCACTCAACCCTAGAGTATTTAAAGAGTACAATAATAATGGATGTGATAGGTAGCGGTGGGAACCTATATGGGAAGGAATTAAGGGATGTTAGGCCTTGTGAATACATCAATTAATATAATTAGTAATTAAATTGAAAAGCAAAGTCGTAGCAGCCGATGATTTCAATTTTTTTTTAATTTCATACGCTTTTATGTGGACCATATTTCAAATGTTTATGCTTGGTTGGGGAATGAACACTTAGAAACCTTCAACGTATTCGGACAACCTATGGCTATGCAATATCGTTTTCTATGACATTTTTTCCACGAGTCATATCTTTCTGTTTTTATCTTCAAATTCCCATACATATAATATGTATACACACAAATAAAGAATATACTTCCTCCAGTCCTTAATAAAGACTTTACTTGATTTTTATTTTAATCCTAAATATAAGACTACAATCTACTTTGTCTATCATATTTATCCATTTTTTTAAAGATAGTCCTTCTAATAATGGTAGTTATAAATAATAAACTTGATTAGCAAAGATATTTTAGAAAAAACAACACATATACATTACAAATAACTAATTTAACTACGTTTTTTAATCTCTTCAAATCAGTCAACTGGGTCTTATTATTAGGATTGGAGGTAGTACTGCTTATAAATTATATACAATGTCATTTACCTCAAATTTTATATAAAATATGGACTAATAATACGGTATCTAGTATAATGTGAAATATATTAAGTTTATTTGTATAGTGATCATTCCTTAACATGCTTCTTTAACATTTTGTGCCACTTTCTTTTCCGATTTAAAACAATTTAAAGTAAGGAAAATTGTTTTAAAATTTCTCTTTGTTGGCCAAAGGTGCTTGAATTTTATTTAAAGACCTAGTTTTTAAGTAGACTTTTAGTACAACTCATATTTATATTTAGCGGATACAACTCATTTTCATTCTTGGATTCTTTTAGTAATTTTTCCTTCAAAATCATTTTTCAAACATTAAAAAAATTAGACCACAACTCCATCTGGATTATACTACTCCTGATTTTTGATATAAAAATTAGTTGATTAATTTAAATAAATTAAATAAATTTGTTAAATTAGTTATTTGTAATTAATAAGTATTATCTTTCTTAAAAGACCCTTACTAATTATATGTATTAATTAAAACTATCATTTGATAAAACTTTTAACAGGCAAAATTACTATAAAAACTATTTAAAAAAATGAATAAATCTAAAAAAATAAAATAAATTAAGACTTTATATTTGAATATCAAACTCATGAGATAGTATTAGTATATCTTGAAATTTGACGATTTCCCGGCCTTTTTGGCTAAGATCAAGTGGAGTTTGTCTTATTTATTAGAAAGTAAAATGGTTAAATCTCATAAATGCATGCGCCTCAGGCCAAAATGAACATAGGATTCTCATTCTTTTTATCCCACACCTCACAAGTCCCCAGAGTACATAAATCTAAAATATAGTAGAGATTCATCGAACAAATAGAATGCACAAGTAACAGAACATGATTTCTCTGGGCAAAAAAAATTGAATAACTTTCAGAAGTTGATGTGTATGAGCAAAAGGAATCAAAACCCAATCCTACCATTTCAATTTCACTGTACATTTTTTTGGTTTTTTGCCGCAATAGCTGTACATTGTCACTCAAAAAATCCCAGGGAAAAAAAATCTAGGTAATTAATCGATCAAAATGATGTTAGTAGTTGTGGGAAATTAAGAATCCGATGCCTAAACGACGCAATGCCCAGTAAAACGACAGGGGGAAAAAGGACCCTCGCACGAATCTACTGCCTCAGCTCCTTTCGGATCTTCTGAGAGAACAGCTTGCAAGCATCCAAGCTTAAGTCCATGGCTGCCGCAAGAGCCACAAACGCCGCCGCGTCCTCCGTGCAAGTCACGTGCTGCACCCCAACTTCCACCTCTGGTTTGCTCTGCTTCCCTTCGCCGTCCACTGTGGCTGACATCACAAACCCCTTGTAAAACAGTTGCTTCTCCAACCCGAACTCCGACCCTGATCCAGAACCCGACCTCGATCTGGAACCGGATCCCAAGTCCCAGCTTCCGTGTGGGCTGTTGACTGGGGTGACCCCGGAGGTAACATCTATTGTGAATTTTCCGCCATTCACGGTGCTGATGGTTGAGCCGGCGAGTGTTACCGGTTCAGCGGTTGCCGGGAGGACATCGAACTTGAAACCCACCGAATTGGAGCTGTTCTGTTCACGCCAAGCCTCGAGGCGCCCCCAAGGCTTCCAGGTACCGTCGCCACCAGGTTGGAGGATAAGCCATGCTCCCGGGTTGGACCGGCTGACCCGGTGGGAACCGGGAGAGGGGACGAACGGCGTGACCATTGAGGCGGCCGCAACAGGGGAACCGGATAGGTCGTGAATCGTAATGGACCATCCCTTGCGCTCGGGCGATTGGTCCTTCTGAGATTTCAGCGAGTTCAACCAGCCTTTTGAATTGCTTGCCTCGGATACAGATGACCTAGAAGCCAAATTCCGGTCTCTGAAACTGAATTTGCAAGTGAAAACTGGTTGTTTAACATTCCCTTGGATTTGAAACACCTGAGGGCTACACTCTGGTTCGCCGTCGAAACGGAACACGAATCTCGGGTCCGGTTCAGCCCGAACAGTCAAGTGGAACAACTGCTCCGACGAGGCCTTTTTCTTCTCACTCAGTGAGACCCAACCGTTCTGAAACATACAAGCGCGAGACTCAGCCAGAGTAAGATCCAACGGCACAGAAATTTTCCCCAATAACTTGGCAGCACTGAAGCCAAACGCCGATGTAATTCTCCGACCCTTGTAGACGGAAATCTTCAGAGTAGGATTCTTAGACGATTTCAGAAGCTTCTCGAGCAAGGGCCTGCTCAAGTCGAAGGAAGCAGCTAAGGAGTGAGATTGAGAGTCGCCGGCATCTTGCGAGACAAGAGGAACGGTGGCGTACTGATGATCGGAGGATTTAAAATCCTTGAGCTTAATCTTACAAAAGCAAGGGGGAGAACTAGAAGGATGAACTTGGCCGGAGAAAGACGAAGGTTTGGCAGCTGCGGGAGATTTGACGGCCAAGTTTCCGACGAGGATCCGAACATAAGGACACGGATCCATATCGTGGGGAGGTTTCCGGCGAGTGAGACAATGGTGAAGAGAGGAATTGTAGTACCGTTGATGTGAATATGGAAGAGAGAGGAATAGGAAGCTGCGCTTATAAGAGGCTGGTAGAAGAAAGAAGACAGTTGTTGAGCAGGCAAGGCGAATGAGACAGCCTGTAAGTTGGAGGATTTTTCATTTAACTTTTTGATATGATGGGGAATACTTGGAGGTCCCATGCAAGTTGGCATTTTTTGAACTGATCTTCGTATTCTATTACAAGTTTTTCTTTTTTAAAAAAAATATAATTATAATTTTATGAGGAACTTATTCAAATTTTTATGAGCTGAAATGACTTAAATCCCACGTTTTATTAAGGAGAAACGTGAAATAAGTAATGTAAATCAAATTGGGAGATCATTTTGGATTGATACTTACCTTGATTCTATAGCAATTTCAAAAAAAAAAAAAAGAAGTCGTCAAATGGATGAGACTCTGTTTGAACCATATCAGAAGTTTGGATTAGTTCAATGATTTTGATTTTTTTTTGTTGTCCCATACCCCAAAAAAAAAAATTTATGTCACACGTACATTTATTTATGTTACTGGGTTTGGTGTTAGCATCAAGTTTTCTTTTTTTCTTTTTTCCATTTTTTTAGAGCTAATCTATTTATTTTATTGTTGGCAAAAAATATTATTTATTTTATGAACAAAAAATGATGTAATACTCCATCTTTGAATTTTGAACTGAGCGAATAATTCCATTACTCCATGAGCAAATCTATAAACTTTTAAATTTGCATACGTAACCCTATTCTCGTTAACTAATCCATTATTTCACTAACGAAGAATACTACTTTAGTGACTAAATAATAAATACCCTTTTAAATTCTATTTTTTTTAATGTAAATATGTAATCCCTTCAAATTTCCAATCAATTTATATCGTTCCCTAAAATTGAGGTCCTGAATAGATAAATTATCTGTCATCCAATCATGTTACAATTACACAGGGTGCAATAATGGATGTATTAATCATATGAGAGTACGTTACTTTTATATTTTAAAAAATTAGAGGGGTTCATTATCAAATTTTAAATACTCTAAGATGATTATTTATACAAAACTTCAAATTCAAGGGGTTATATGTAATTTAATATTTTTATATTATTTATACTTTAGGGCTTTAGGATAAATTAGTTAGAAAAAATACATCTAGTATTCTAAAATATTTTATAATGCTCTCAGCATCATAAATTTATAACAGAGATCTGAATATATAAATAGTGACTTGAAAATTTGGCCACCAACATTAATAATGTGCTGAAATCATTCCATTTTGTTGTTCCTTCTAATTTCTAATAATATTGATGATAAAATTAGGTAGCAACTACCAATTATGTCCAAAGGGCACGTAATTCCGATCCCTTAACCCGAACCAACCTAATTAGTAACGATTCTTTGTTTTGGTTTAATTATTAGGTTGACAAAGTGATTCTAAAGTTCTAATTTTTGTTTTAGGTCTAATTAGATAGATTGTCACAAATCTGCTTATCATACATGATATTGTTATTGTCATCAAAATTTGTGAAATTATTGTACAAAATTCTGAAAAATTACTCAATCTCCAACTAGGATTTACCAAATGCATATAGGATTTAATTATGCAAATAATAAAGGCAAGAAAAATTTCTATGAAAAAAATTAATATTTATATCCAGAAAATATCATATTATAGTTATTCCTTTAAAAGGTGTTTTTATCTTTAATATATTTCATTTGATCAGAAAACTTATTTTCATAAAATATTACAATGGGAAAGTTAGATGCTGAATTTTAATGCATTTAAACCAAATCGATGATTGAGGTATTTGAAATCATATGTGAGACAAATTTAGTTTTTGAATAAATTATATAAAATTTTCTATCTTCTTTATAATTATGATACATCTGGTACTTAATATAAAAGCTAGTTTGATATTTAATTTGATTTTAAATATAAGACCCTAATTCACTTTATCTCTCATATTTATCCTTTTTTTTTAAAGTAGTCATTGTATTAGTTGCATACTTGCATATGTCAAAAATTCCATCAAAAAGTAATTCTAAGTAATACATATGATTAGCAATGGTACTTTAAGAAAGATAACATATATTTATTATAAATAATTAACTTAATAAATTTTTTTTAATCTAGTCAGATTAGTTAATTAACTCTTATATTAAAGACAAGATGTAATACAAATTTCTTTAATTTTTTTTTTTGCACAGAACTGTACACATATGGCATTTCTTAAAGAGTAAACAGTGTGAAGACGGAGTACATATCAGATAGATCTAAAGTCTAAACACATCACTTTAACATAAATTTAATATGTTAATATAAATGTGTACCTTGATTATTGTAATTCACATTTAAATATCGTAAATTTTTAAGTTTTGAAAATAATATAAACTAAATGTGGACCTTATCGGTTGTGCAAAGGATGAAAATTAAATAAGCCTACCTGCAAGTATTAAGGTTAGACCAAATAGGATTATTTAAATGAACAAGCATGACTTTTGTGAATTAATTTGACTTAAAAAAAAGAGTCAGAATGAATGAAATTTCTTTTTAAAATTTTTTTTCCCAAAACTAATTTTGGGAAAAGTGATTTTCCATAAATGTTTTTATTAAAATTATTTTTAGATGTGTAATTATCATAATGGATTATGGCTTATATGTGACTTCCTTTCTTTCCCACATGACTGAAATTTGGTACTCCTCCGGTCTTTAATATAAGACCCATTTAAATAATTTGATTAGATTAAGGAAGTTAGGTAAGTTAGTTAATTATAAGAAAAGTGACACATTTTCCCTAAAACACCATAAACATCTTTTATAATACCTCCTCTCCCTCTTCTATTTGATTATACTTGAGGGAGTATTCATAAGGGTAATTAAGAGAAAATTGATAAATATGAAAAATGGGTCTTATATTTAGGATCAAAACTAACTTAAGAATTTGGTCCTATATTAAGGATCGGAGGAGCATTGAAAAATTACAAACACATAACTACACGGTTTTTTTCTTGAAAAATTATTATTATTTTGTTTCAAAGAAGGTTTTAAAACTCTAAACGCTTAAATAAATTGTATGCTTCCTAATTAATTGATTTAATATTGTGGTTGTCCTTTTTCTTCTTTTTTAATTCTTCATCTTTCTTGAAACATCAAATCATGACGTTATAATAAAAGTAATAATACTTAAAAAAGACGCCACAGCTACATATAATTGGTTTATATCATAATCCATGTTTGTTTCTCTTAATGAAAGTCTAATCCTAATCCGTATGGCTGGCTGGCTGGCTGGCTGCTAAACTGTATCGATGCGACATTTTTGATGTTCCATTCCAGGCGTCAAACTCATAATAAGCAACATAATGAAAACAGTATTTATGTTGAAAACTTCAAAAATTTAAAATTATTTTACAAACACCTAGAATATGATCATCAATTATAATTTTTATTTTATTTTAAAATTTCCATTTCAATTATTTAAATTATTCATCATTTTGAAAAGTATCCAAAACCGTTGCACTCTTAATTAGCAAGTAAGGAAATGCCAATTGGTGGTGATGGCCACATCAAATGATAATTCTCTCCTCGGACTTTGACATGATTTTCAAATTTCAATCAACGTGACAAATTATCGACTTTTGATTATAATATCCCACCCTCTTCAAAATTGTCAATAAATTTATTCAAAGACGCAAGTTATCAATTTAATTCCTTTTTTTAAGGGGGAAAAACTAAATTTCGAAGACAAAATACTGAATAATGATAGAAAGCAGCATGCATTAACCAATATTGATAGGGTTAAGTAACAAAGAGACTCGGCATTAAAAATTCAAATCTTGTAGGTAAAACAAAAAATTATAGTGGAAGGATTGTCTACTTGATGATTCAAATTTCACCCAATAATAATATGTCATATGAAAATGTGTCTGATAAATCATGAGTCTAATTGAAATGTGTTTTGGATTCATTTTGTTTGTTAATTTTTTGTTGTAAAATTTCTAGAGGAGCAAAGCTCTAGGAATTGATCAAATGAAGGTACTCATCTAATTCTAAATACAGAGTAATTCTAAGTAACCATTTTTTTTGGGGTGAAAATTCTAAGCAACCATTGCACTATAAGAAAGGTTAGTTTTGTTGGCAAATAATAATAGTAGTAGTAGTAGTAATAATAAAGGTTAGTTTTACTTTATTTTTTCAAAAAAGGTAAATACTTTTTTACTTTTACTCTTATTAACCACATTAATAATGAAGCTTATAAATTGAAAATAAGACAAGGATAGAGTTTTAGAGTTAATAATAAAAAATAAAATATATTTTTAGTTTTAAAACTTTTTATATGGTTTCAGTTTGTTCATTTAACTTTAAAAAATATGTCCAAAAAATTATTAACATTATAAGATGACGCACAGTCTACATTTTGTAGGAAGATTACTTTTAGAAACTACCCAATATTTAAGATTAAAAAAAATAGAGAGAATTATAATCAAGTTTCAGAAAAATATAATTACCAATAAGTTCTAATGACAAGTAAGTAGTTGTCATTTATTATAATGTAATTTATCTTTATAGACTGTTTATTGTCACTATGATTTTTTAGTAATTATATTCTTTAATCGAGACTTTTAAGCAATTATCCCAAAAAAATAAGGTTCATGGGTGAACCCATGAATATATTTTCAACTTATGTGTATGTAAACAAGATTCAAACTAGAGACTTTTTTTTTATCCTAAAAAACTATTCTATTAATTTTAAATATAAAACTCATTTTATTTTACAGCGTGGACCCATATGTATAAACTATAAAGTCACCTCTGGGGATGGCTCCAATTTTGATCGTTAATAATAATGAGGCCCGCTTTTTGAGTAACGGAAGGAAAGGGAGGGAAAGGAAAGGCAGAGGAGAAGAAGCAAAACGAGGGAGGAAACCGGAGGAGGTGAGCTGGAACAGGTAGCGATAGTGGCCAGCAAAGAAATACCCAAATTTGGCTGTTTCCTCCCGTGCCTAATCCCCCCAGCTGTTTCCTTCATTCCTTCCACTT